ATTCTTTATAATAATCTGATGTGAAATAACAAACATCTATGTCTTTCAGACCAATAATTTGAACATTACATTTATATTCCTCCTATAATAATATTTGGGTTTTAATAATCTTTAAAGTATTTGCAAGTGTCAGTATTCCAATGTAGCATATTTAATGATACTTTTCATACTTGCCAAAACCAATTGTTGGCCAAATGAAAAGTCCTCATACAAATAACTTTCATTTTTAAGCTTCTGATATGGCCATGACAACATGAATTACTTATTGAAAAAGACAAGCGATTCATCTGGTTAGGTGTATTGCTTGGGGACAATACCAAATGTTTAATATTAAAATAAAAATATTAATCCTCCCTTTCAGCTGATTGTTATACAAGAGGAATAAACTTTCACTGCAGCCCCTCAACATCATGAATTTTGTTAGTAACTTCTTCCTGCTGCGTAGGTGCACTTATGTCTACTATAATGACTTTGGTGTTCTATATTCATGTTATACCTTCCAGTGAAGTATGTCAAAAAAAAAAAACCAAACCCCAACAAACCCTGTAGTGAGTGAATGCCAGCTTTTTGGATTTCTGGACCCTGTCATAACTGACCACATGATATGCTCATGTGGTAAAACTCCCCTTGGAGGCGAGTAATGATTTTATTGAAACAAATATGTTGTCTTTTTGCAATTTAAATTGCTCCCTGAATGCTAAAAAAAAAAAAATCTTCAAAGTATTTTTGCTAACCCTGAAGGTAAATTATGATGGAGAGGAAAATTTTTAAAAATGCTAATAAAGTTACAAGATATGAAACAGATCTTGTACAAAAGAAATGCTTAGGAAATGGAAAAGCTCATTCAGAGGCTGGGATACACTTGGTGATAGATGGAAGCCATGAGATGGAGGAAGAAGACATGACAGGTTAGTTTGGAACTCCTGAGGGACTTCAGCATGTGCAAATAATAAGGCAGAGTAAGAAATCAAATGTCCTGAAAGTTACCTTCAGGGTTTGCTTATGGTTCAGGTGCAAGTCCAAATAATACTGTGAAAGCAGTTTCTGATCCATATTGGCAACTCATTGTATTTCTTATCTGATTCTAACTTTTACAGACAACAGTCTTCTGGCTGATTACCCAGAATTTGTAGTCATGATGCTCTGATATCAGACAGTTGCATTGGAGTAACAAAATTCTCATAAACCTATATTCGTACAGGAATATAATAAAATATTATGGGTCTGACCAGGTGTCAGTCATATCCGTTAGTGACTCCAACAACACCCTTCACCCCTACTGTTAGAGCACTATGAACAAAGCTCTAAGTAGGGATGCATAGAAGACCATTTTAGTTAAGCCTACAAATACAGTTTTGCTGTTCTTGGGAATTCTTTGATATGTTTATGATGCATTTTTTTTAAAGCACTTCTAATATATGCTCAAACAGAAGAAATTAACGTTCTCTTCTGCCTTGATCATAAAATCAGAGCGTTTTGTGTTGGAACTGTTTTGTGTTAGTTCCAACCTACTTGCCATGGGCAGGGACACCAATTTGCTCAAAGCCTCATCCAACCTGGTCTTGTGATTAGAGCTGGATATGTGAAAAACGGCAGTGAGACAATTCCACAAGGATTTTAGCTTTAAAATACAATTCTGTCCCAAAGCCAGAAAACACCAATGCTTTCCATTAGTATATTAAAAACATCCCAAATCTATAGCCTTGAAGGGTTCCTCTCCCTGTTTGTGCCATCTTTGTAGTAATTTCTTAGTAATATTCAGCAGCCATGAAAAAACATACCTTGCGCTGCCCCACCACCTCTGTTTCTCCTTTGATTTTGAAACTGGGAAAGAAAATTCCTGGATGCTCTCTAAACTCTGTGACCTTACAGGACTGGCCTAATCCTGCTTTGAAATAAGGGGTAGGAAGGATATGTGTAGTTTGGGTAGCCAGTGGGAATTAGAGCTGCACAAAATCAACTTCAACAAAGATAAATCAGAAGGAAATAACTTTCTCATGAACCTGCTGTAGGACTTGTGGAGTTGCTGGTGCAACTGTGAGCTAAAATGCTAATACATACAGTGTGTATCAGCTTTGAGGCATATAAATGATGGAAGAAAAGTGATGTGAGTGCATGGAACGGGAGCTGACATGCTAATTTCATTGTGGGTTTTCTTTCTTTTTTTAAATACTCTCATTAAAGTGCATTGGGGCTCACAAGTGTGAGCAGATACCTGCGCATTCTAAAGTGCATGAAAATTCCACAAAGTAATGACATGCCAAACTTCTTGAAGGAGGAAGGGGGTTGAGAATGGAGGGAGGAGAAGGAGCAATGAGCAGGTTGCAGCTGTTTGAAGTGACAGCACAGAGGATTTACAAATGTAGCTGCTATGACTACATTGCTTGAGTTACAATAAAGAGTAATAGAAGTGGAGGTGTTGAGAGACAATGACGAAAGTTGATGGAAGGGTAGCAATGCATTTAAACATACAAAAGATTTGGAAATGGAGGAGTCACAGAAAAAGAAAATCAAGGAAAATAAATGAGAGAAACCCAGAAAATGGATATAACAATGCCCCAAGCAGCTCAGCGTGTGTCAGATGTGTGTTCTAGTAGACAGTATTTACTAAAATATCAGGATTGTTCATGTGGCTCTGTATCGTGAAGAATATTTTTCACCTTCTGTAACGGGGAGCAGCTGTGAATATTTGTACTGGTATGAGGGATTGCTGCTTGTACTTAACTCTAATGAAGCTATTCGTTTCCATATGGAGAAGTAGTGTGCACAGACTGGTGAAATTACAGCACCAGGTTGCTTAAGTCTGACCAAATCCAACAAAAAAAGGGCTTGTGCATGATGCTGGAGGAATATTCTTCTTTATTGTGGGCTCCTTCAGTGGTGGGAGTTACTGTCATCCATCACAGGCACCACGGTAATTAATTGCAAGAGATTGTGAGTAATGGCAGTGGATGTATTTTAAATAGGTAGCACTGGCAATACCTATACTGGGGCTGTTCACTTCTGGAAGTCTACTGATAGAATGGGTAGAGAGAGCCCACACAGAAAACCTAGAATAAGCCGGAGACATCACTGGCATCAGTCTCTTGAGATGTGCTGGGTCAAATGGGATATGGCAAAGGTGCTTGAATGAAGGAAAAGTACGATACAGCCTTTGGAGTAATGTAGTAGAAGTACATGTGTCAATTGTGGTCATATTTAGACCTTTCATTAGTCAAACCTGGAAGTTCTCTGAAGGTCTTATAACCATCAGCCTGAAAAACAGCATCTCTGGGGGAGAATATACAAAATCTGTAATTACCTTAAGCTCACCAAAGAGAACTAAACCAAAAAATTCAAATAGCTTCTGTGCATGAAATGAGTAGAAAGATGCTGGGGTTTAGATAGCAAACTAAAATGAGGATATTAGTATAGCTGTTCTTCAAAATCTAAGGATTACAGCTGTTACGTATGTTCCCTTCGAGATGAAATCAGACTACTACAGTAAAGGCAGAGTAAGGAAGAATAGTATCTATCATTGGCAAGGCCTTAATTCTGAGATGAAGAGATCAGTGTTATAGAAGCAATGTGATCAGAAGTCTCTAAAATAATTGTGTGCTTGAAAAGGCAGTCTGAATTTCTTGATTTTTCTTTATACTTAATTTCTACCAGAATAGCCCTTCTTCTTCTCAATTTGACTGAAAATACAAAATTATGGAACTGAGAAAATGTTGTAGTTAAAATGCAGAACTGTTATTCTGTACTTCCTATCGTTCATCTATAGGAATGCAAAGTCAGTAGCTAGCACGTAGTCTGTGTAGTACCTTGAAATGGGGAACTCTTTTAAGCCTTTCTGCAGACCCCATGTCTTCAGTTTACTGTTAGCTGCTGTACCTTTTTATTGCCATTATTATCTTTCTCTTTTTATGTATGTACTGTATATTAACATGTTATAGTGTGGCCTGAAGAAAGCTGACAGTATGAATTTTACCTTCTGATACACTGCTAATACACAGTCAATAAGAGCTTTAAGTGTTTTGTTTTAAAAGTCATTGTCTTACAAATCAATGTGCCACAGTTGAAATTTTTAAGAAGTCCTGCAGGATTTCATAATAAAAGATACCCTGGTCTGTTCTGGGCTCATCCACTGTGACAAACAGAGGATTAAACAAAAGTATCAATGATAGCCAGATTCAGCATCTTTATCTAGTCTGTTTTCCTGTGTGTCATTGCAGAATTGTTTCTGACAAAGGGAAAAGATTTCCAAGAATGCGTAACTTAGTACTTGTATGTAGGCTTAAGTGTTCAGAGCGCAGTTATTACAGCTGTGTGTGCTGCAGCTCTGGGTGAGTGCTTGATAATGCTCGTGTGTTGTGGTGGATGGAAGCGTTGCTGTGTAGTTAGATTTGATTGGTGCTGGGCATGCAGGGAAGTAGCGTGCAGCCTTGGAAGTGTTAATTAGCCTGATAGCCTACATGCAGCAACTGGTTACCTAATACACTCAAACAGTTTAAAGTTTTGACAACATTAATGAAGTAATGAAATACTAAGCTGCCATGTATCTGCAGGACTTGCATGGCAGCTGGGAAAATGCAGTTGGAAGTGCTGCTGTATGGATTGTGGACAAACTGTGAGGGAGAGGTGCCTGTGAGATCTGAGCAAACACTAGTCATTTCTGCAACTATTCACCTTCTGAAATGAATTAACTTTTAATTTTACTCATGGAAAATGGGAAGCCTTGCTCAGATACAGGCTATCACTCTGCTCTAGGACAGCACATTTTGTTGCAGAAATGTAAGCATATTTATACTGTCCCTGGCATTTAAATTATTTTGTATTAGTCTGATTAAAATGTTATTATGGCTAGATACACTGTAAGCCAGGAAGGCCAAACCCTTTAAACTGATTTTTGAAAGAAAGATGGATAAACCATAGAAATTTACCAGTTGCTGTGCCCTCTGAATACTTGCAGCTTTTACTATCTAGAAGCTGGTTTTAAGCTATGTTATCTCTAGGGAGAAACTACTGTTGCTATTACATGTCTCCATGGGTTTCTCTCTGAAACACTTTCTTACCACTGTTTTAGTGGCAAACTTATTTTCCTAGGTTTGTAATCTCTCTTCAGCCCATGTATTTCCATGTGTTGTAGTTTTTCTTGCCATTCTCCCTCTTTTCCCCTTGCTTCTGAAGAGTGTTGCATTCCGCAGTTCTGTTGCCTCTCTGCTGTGTGTTTCTGTAGGTATCTCCTCATCTTCTTTCTTTTGAAGCCCTTTTTCCTTCTGCCTCCAAAAGCCACGCAGTATATATGCACAGAAGTACTTCAGGCTAGACTTATTTATAAATTTGCCAGAAGCAGGTATTTATGGGTATTCTCTGTTTATTCTTTCATGCAGCTGATGGCTGTTGCTGCTTTGCTTTAGAGCCACAGGAGTGAGTCCTTGAGTGAATAACTACATATCACCCTGAATAGAACAACCCTCATGTACTTCATCTGCAAAAAATTCAGGAAAACTGGAAACTGCATAATAGCAACCAGCAGGATAGCTGAGCCAATTCAAGACTTTGGCACCAGAAGGCTTCTGTAGCCATTTTGATGTATCCAAGTCTGTCTCTTCTGTTTCATTCCCAAACGTATTTGCCCCATAAAAAATGCAAAGATAAAACAGCATAAATGTGTATAGAAGATATCGCTTAGCAAAGTCAACAGAGGGGAAAAACAGTGTTGAGAATTCTACCACAACCAAACAAGACTCTAATAATAAAAGAAATACAGTAGTGATAGCCCTAGGGTTTGATCATCTGTTTGCTATAGAGTCTTTATGGAGCAGTGCTGAGAGGAAGTCCAGGACCTACCTCCAGAAAGGAGACAGTGTAATTATGCCATGGCACACTGAGCTACTGCTCTGTATCTTGATAACAGGCGTTTCTCTTTCTGATGCTAGTTTTAAGCATATTCAAAATTGTCCTTCCAAAACTGGAAATGTGAAAGCTCAAACCCAAATCAGCTTAGAAATGAACAGGTCAGAAACAAAAGCCACTTTCTAACACAAGTGGAATCCTTGCTCTGTCATTTCTGCTTCAGTGGAAAGGAGGTTGCTTACACAGTGCCTGACAAGAGCAGTCAGTATCTTCTTGCCTATTCCTGAATCACTCAGTGTTCATTATATGGTTGGTTTTTTTACCATGATCCTGAAGGTAAAATTATAAAAAAAGAAACCAGATTTCAGCAAGAGCTGCATGGCAGTAACAGCTTAGAGAGGTAATGGTACAAAGTGCAGCATGGGAGTTCTCATGCACACTCTTGATGTGCATTTGTATTTTCCTTGCCCCTTCAAGTGCTTGGGAAAATGCTACACGTCTTCAGCATCAGGCTCTACTCTAAATTTCTGATTTGATATTACTACGTGGCTCACATAGTGAATTATTTGTGGGGTTTTGTTTTCTTTGTCCACCTGTAACCATTACTACCAAACTTGCCTTTAAATGGGGCTTCACAGATATGACGTAGAAGACCAGAGCCAAGGAGAAGAGCACTGCCCCCCTGTGCTTCTCTGCCCAGGGCTGCAGAGAGGCTTGGAGGCCTGTGGAGTCATAAGTGGGAGCAGATACATCTCAGCCTGAACACAAAATTAATTGATAGAAAAGGAAGGTATTGTTTTGCTAAATCAACATCTTGTCACAGCTGAAGGAGAAGTATGGCTTGGTCAGGATGGTTGTGTATGGTGTTGGTAGGGACTAGAGACCTTTTTTCAGCATGGACCATTTAATCTTTCCCAAGCTGAGAGTCACGTTGTCTATCTTTTTGCAGCTTGTTTCTCTACTCCCATAAACTTTGCTTTGTTTAGAGGCAATAGTTTAGTCTTTCACTTTTAAATAGTGAAAATATTGCTTTTTGAACCTTAACATATTGTGTAATCCAGCTTTACAGTTTGTGGCAGCATATAGGAGAAAAAAAAAGTAGCTCTGGTTATGAAAAAATATAACAAAAATGGTGTTTAATTTATGATAGTGTAACACATTGCTGCAAATTTCATACAGATGAGTGACACAAAAAACAGTGCTTTAGTTGGTAACATGAGCCAATTTATGACCATCAAGTGGGTTAATGCAAAGGAGAGCTCTTGCCTATCTACTCATGGAGAACCTATGTGGGATGATGGCTCACATTGAGCATGGTGTCCTGTGAGGGATATGGGGAATGGTTTTCAAGTGCTTGGGGCTGTGGGTAGATGAGGATGCTCAGAGCACTTCAGTGTCATGGTCATAGAGGTTCTGGGGGAAAGCGTATCTGAAAGACTGTCTATCAGAGGGGAAAGGATTTGGGGAGACTTTTCCATGAGAACTGCTGGAGGTGTCTGAGGGAAAGGGATTCGGATTCCTTCCTGAGATGGAAGATGAAGAAATGCAGCAGAAGTCAGCTAAGCTTACAGGGTTTGGGTCTGAAGAGGCTGTTTTGCCAGAGTGGAGACCTGAATAATAGCGGAATAGATCCTTTGCCAAATAAGAGGCTTCTGAGTAGAGCTTGAAGGAAAAAACGAATCCAAACTACAACCTAGTTGGTGGCCAAAAGTCACAAATTGTTTTTCAGTGAGTCCTATGCAAGTAATTTTAGTCTGTTTAATTTCTGAGGAATTTAGGACGCAGCAGGTAAGAACTGTCTTAGTTAAGAGGTAAGGAAATGACAACAGTTTCAACATCTTTTCCTGATTGTGACTATTACTGTTTTAAAACTGCCCGAGACTATTAAAACTTGATCTATTGATTTTATGTGATTTTATATATTGCAAGCTGCCTTTACAGTGTCTGCCATGTAAAGGGTGCAATTGCCACTTGGTATATATCAAAATGAACTAGTTCTATATGGAGAAATAACTCGCATAGCTGCTGCAATGTTAAATCTAGACAGATCTATGACACTATTTGCAAATAAGTCCTAAGAGAATACAGCATCTCAAAAGGGAAAGTAAAACTTTCAATATCTTAAACACAGGTTTCAAATACTAAAAAGAAAATAAAGACAAGCTGCTCCTCCCTTCCTTTTGGGGAAATAAACACTGCCAGGAAACAAATTGCGAATACATATTTGGCAAAATATATATTTTTTTTCCTCCTATGTCTCATGATGAAGTATGAATAATACCAGTACTTACAGCCAAGGCCAGTTCTGCTTTAACATTTTTACTTATTTTTTTACTGTTTGTTTTCTTTAAAAAAATGAAATTCTTTCAATATAAAAATACATTGAATTCAAGGGATTCAGCATTTTAAGATTCTGCAAGCTGGATCATAGCCTATGATCTTTTTCTTTAGTTCTAATTTGCAGAGTAACTGTCTTTCTACCCAGTGAGGATTAAATGATCCCCTGTGAATGTTCCTCATTCTCAGACTCTCAGAGAGTCTCAGACAGCCCTTGGAGCCTCTGATCCCCCGCTAAGGAGCACAGGTTCAAAGAGGAAAAACCTGTTTGTATTAAGTACATAACCTTTCTAAGCATAACCATCTAAAAAAATTAAACTGGGCACTTTGATTTAATCACATTGGGATGGGGACCAGAATGATTCGGTATTTGGTATTACTGTAATATATAATGTTACAGATAACTATGAAATTTAAAACCATCACGTTTTTTACACTGGTATATAACTTCTGGAGCTGACTGCGGATTTTTGTGTAATGACTGTGTTGGCTGTTTTCTTAATTTTTTCAGAATTGAATAGGGCAAGCCAGAATACCTTTCATTTTCCAAGAAGTCAAGAGTATGGGTGTGTACAGATTAGTGACAACCAGTCCTGGCTTCAAGGTGCTGTTTAATCCGGGTTATGTGTGCTCATTAGGTCTGGGGACATTGATTCATGAAATACATTATATCTATTCAAAGGCAGGATTTAAAAATTAACCTGAAATTGGTGCATTCTCTACTAGTGAATGTTATGTTGATCCCTCTTCTAACAGCTCTATCACATATGAAAATATTGCTGTTGAGATCTTGCACACAAAGGCATTAGCCTGTAATTTTCTTTGTAAAAGGTCAGTCCACATTGAGAACTAGATTTGTCGCTGCTGTGTCATCCTATGGCTAAATCTGAGGGAAGATACTTTTTCTTTTCTGCTTTTCCCCTCTCATATTTCTAACATTTCTTGCTCTCCGGTGCCGGAGTCTCCACACTTTTCATGGCATGCAGCAACTGTGGAATATTTGAGAACAATATAACATAGAAGGAAAATCTTTTTGGTTTGTTTTTGGTTTTAGCTCCTGTCTTATTGATCCTGACTCATCAGGGAGAAGATACTAATGTGTTGTCGGATAGGCTGATGGCTGCCTACATCACAGTATGATTTATGATGTCACAATAGACAGTAAGACAAAGGAAAAAACTTCAATTCACTCTTGATTTTCTGGGTCCTGGCTATTATACTTGACTAGCAAAGTGCTGTTTTAACTCATGTTCACTTATATGCACTTATCTTTCTATGGTTGCAACACTGACCATGAAAACCTTGTCTAATGAGACACCAGGATCCAGACTTGGTGGAAGCCATCTTAATTTCTGTCACAATATTACTATTACTAGCTATGTTACTAAATTAAGTTGAATTATATACACACTTCTCTAACCTTAGCATTTTTCTCTGTTTTGATTAGAAAGAATTAAAACCAGGTTTACTTAATCCTTTTTTCTTCTCCTTTTCTTCCAAGACTGTAGGGCAAATAGTTGAATTTCTTCAGGTTTGCATGTGCTTGCATGAGGTGAGAGTGGTGGAAACCTTATTGCATGAAAGTCAAATCAGTAAGAAGAGCTTATTTTTTACTGCTAAAGACTTAAGCTGAGCTCTTCACTTGGCTCTTCCAGCACTGAATTCCATATCTGAAATCTATGAAAATTATCTTTTACACTCCAGAGACTCTTGTTTGACTAACTCTTGAGACTTGAATGAAACCTAGCTGTTTGAAGACTGTTGTGGTCCTGGAGGGGAAGAGCCAAGACAGACACTGGGATGCAGATCATTGGTTTTATTGGTGCATCATGCTCAGGTCACACCTATAGCTCTCTAAAAACTACTGCTCAGCTAAGGAGGATCCAAACTCTTTGAAAAGTGCAAGCATGGTCTTGTCAAATACAGTATTTTGGTAGCCCTGATAACCCAGAAGCAGCCATAGTGTCAGGTAGCAATAATGTTTTTGTCTGTGATGACTCGGGCAAGGGCAATCTGTGAGTGTTACTCCACTGGGTTTCCCTGACAAAAGCCATTTAGGCAGCAGATGCAGGGATTGGTCCTCAAAGTGAGGCAGAAATGAGATAAGCAGACATCGTTGGTGATGATGTGATGAGGAAGAAAACAATCCAACATTGTGTTTGCTTCTTGCACTGTTGCTTACACACAAAAATGCCTTAAGAAGTTGTAGCTAGGTTGTGAAATGAGTACCGATTTCAGTTTGGTAAGCTGCTGTAGTGTATCTTATAGTTGATTAACTGGAATGTATTTGTCTGTGTGAGGAATTATTTAAGCCTTCTTTTCACTCTGCTACAAAAAGACCAGCTTGTTTCCACTGACATTTGTGTGTGACTACAGATCCTTCTCACCATTAATTTCCTCTTTTCTCTCTCTTAAACTTAAGATGTGTTGGTAATCACTATTGATATGTGTCCTGGAGCAAAGGTATACAGCTGATCAGAGAGGGAAAAGAAATATGCACTGGACCCAGCTGCTCCTTAGGTTGATGTATCTATGTTTCTGTCCTCTAGAAATACTGAAAATGTCTGACTCCAAAAAGGGAAAGATG